CATCATCATCATCGACAGCATGACATCAGTGTTCAACACCGATGCTTCACTGCCGTACAACCATGACTTATTTGAAAGCCTTATTGTAAAGAAAAGAGTAAAGGTGGACAGAAGAGGGACTTAGTGCTAGCTTGACACAATCATTCCGATGTCCCTACACCTCAAGACATTCACTCAGGCAATCTGGATAGAAACTCACAACAAGAACGCCACTGACATCGGTTGGCAGCCATATCTTGTCGTGTCTCCAACCAGGCACAGTGAGGATCACGCGGTCCCCACCCTAGAAGGCGAGTAGCACCGACAGCACCCAAGCGTCTCGTGATCTCCTTCATACTCCTCTGCCAAGTCAAGGGCTGGCCACCTCTCTGTTTACACCACTCTGAGTTGGGCATGGAAAACAGCACTCTCTTCGGCAAACGATGGTTCGGCATACGTAACACATGTCCCAACCAACGCAGCTTCTGGTGCTGGACACATTCTTCAATGGAAGTATCCGTTACACAACCGAAAACACGCTCTCTAACTGCCTCGTTACGGATTCGCCGACACCAACCCACACGAGCTATGGTTCTGAGACGACGATTGTCCAACACCTGAAGACATCTCAGGTCCGCTGCTCGAATAGGCTAAGTCTCACAGCCACACAACAAAACAGCCCGAACTCTTGATAGATACACACGTCCCTTCAGATTCAGGGTATACGGATGGCTAGTCGTTTGCGGAACATGAGACTCGAAGAACGCGCACAGTAAGGCTATAGACCCCTTGGGTCACCTTACTTTTACATGGAACAACCTTCACTTCAACCCCGAGTCATTTTATTTCATCTCGAAATACCCTATAACTGACTCCGAAACACACTTTTTTGAGTGAGAGTTACTTTAGTTTGACAAAAGTATAGCGCTTTGGAGAGCGGATAAGTGGCCTAGTTGCCGAAGAATTCGCACGTTAGTGGCTATGAAGTTTGGAATATAATCGGTTGCTTCTCTACGAACTTTCAGTGGGTTACATACAACTGGCGCATATGGGAGATTACGAGGTGGGACAGGTAAGAATTGAGCGATACTGGTAAAGATGGGACGAGTCAGAAACCGAAAAAGTGCAGCTATCTAACCCGACAGGGAATAAAGCGCTCATGCTGATATCCCCGAACGACGGCCGGCGTAACATGAGGGGTGTTGTAGCTTGCTGAACGGTGGTACAACTCTGTATCGGTTCTTGGCTTCCTGTTCCGCCCACTATGGTATATCAAAAGGCACGACAGCTTCAGACAGCCCTTTACGGAGACAAGGGGAGATCACCACAACTGTATTTATAGGGTGATCACAGAAAGTTCCACAAGGTCGCGCCGGAATCGCTGAGAGGGGGTAGGAAGCGTCAAGCTATAGATGCTCGATCCAGATTGGCTGACATTCTGACTAATCAGGGCAAGCCTTCGTTCAGTCCGTAGCCTGCACGCGACACACCCGTCCAAGTAACGTGGTGTTCGGTTACTAGGAGCGGCTGGCCTCCCGAAAGAGAGATATTTGTTAACGTGTGTGACATGAGGCATGGCTAAGGCACCTGAGCCTAGATGAGAGAACCAATCAGATTCACAGGCAAGGTCGTCGTCCCCAAAACTTTGAGGGAACAGTAGAGTGGTTGATGTAAGACCACTACAACAGTTCCACCGGGATGGTCAGGAAAACGTGTCTTGGATATCGATCTGTTGAACAGCACACTAGAAGAAAATGTGTGGATGCTGCATTGGCACAGCTCAACGGTCTGTTGGGACACTCGAACCGTCGCACCGTGGTGACAGTCTATTCTCAGAAGTCATGGAAAATACGTTCTTACGAACACATCAAATGTGTGTTCGTACCAGATTCCATTGTAGGTATACTAGAATCGCTCACAAATAGACTAAAACAAGAGAAATGAGTGAAGAGATAGTCAAATCGCCCATCGGAATTCTCTCAAATGCATCCAAAGTGATCATATTGAAAGGAATCCCCTCAACACCGATGAAGTGTCAGTTCTAACAAGTCAACGTCTAGACTTCGCCCTTAGAAGGACAAGCGATACTGCAGGGCTCTAAAACTCATCCCAATCGGTAGACACAGTTCTGCCGTAAGTCACTGAGTTGGCTACGACTTTGCGCTCACTATTCTGCCTAGTCACCAGGACTCACATGCCCTTTCACTGTCCGATGCAGCTGCATTCATTCGTTTTAGGCCTTCGTTGTGTCCGAAAGAATCTTGATATAGCTCTACGTCATCCTGGACTTACCGTGTGTGCTGATTCTCTAAGTTGACTTTAACCAAGTAACCACTACCCTTTTGTGGAGACCACGTAATAATCTGTGTTGATGACTTGGCACTGATGATATGATGACGAAATATTTCAGAAAATTCGCCTGGCCCTTCCCTCGACCTTCAACAGCATCGAAGCTTGTGTGAAGTGTTTCAAAATCCTATTTTTAACCTATCAAACCCAAGAAAGGCTGTTTAGCACTGCATTGTGGTGATAGCCGTTATTTGCGTGGAAGTTGACTGGTTAAGCTAGACAGATAAGATGCATTATCAGCTAAGATTATGAAGGCTCTATTGATCCTGGGGGGGGGATTTTAAAAAGCAGCGTTAAAATTGTCCCCCGAAAGATGCTGCTACGATTATTCCTACTCAGAGGAGACTACATCAATGGATCAACTAAAAGACATCAGCATCATCACCATTAACAGTAGTACACCAGTAACACATATTGGTGTTTAGCTACCACACAACTATGAGGAAAGAAAGCCTTACCAGAGAGTGGAAAGGAAATCTAAGGGTTGGGAGGATTTTAAAAAGCAGCGTTAAAATCGTCCCCCGAAAGATTCTGCTACGATTATTCCTACTCAGAGGAGACCACATCAATGGATCAACTAAAAGACATCAGCATCATCACCATTAACAGTAGTACACCAGTAACACATATTGGTGTTTAGCTACCACACAACTATGAGGAAAGAAAGCCTTACCAGAGAGTGGAAAGGAAATCTAAGGGTTGGGAGTTAGTGTGAGGAAGCTACATGTTCTTAAAAAACCGCCAAGCGGAAAGTATCTTTGGACGAGATCAAAATAAACGCATCTAAGCATCATGCCGAAGACGCCATCAGCGAGATTGACAGAGTCTTTTGCAGACCTCACCCAACATAAACCGAGTGAACAAAGACAGGCTAACTTTAGTTACGTAATCCGGTTAGAAAATGACAGCATGTGTGATCGCTTGTGTACCACGTCCTGCAAGGATTCCAACCACGTGTAAACAGGATCACGTGGTCCCCAATCAGGAAGACGCGAAAATACCACAACACTCGGCTTAACAGTAACCCCTTTCATTTCAGATTACCATATCATGGCCTGTCCTTTGTGAACCTTTTGCCAAGAATCGCTCGGAATGGCAAACTTAAGGCCCATAAGGCGGGTATCACATCAATAGGGGGTACCAACAAAACCCATCCCATTCTATTAGCACTTACCTGAAAAGCATAGTACAGCTGAACAATCCAAGGGCTTTCACCCCGAGCCATTATTTCTCGTTCCGCCCAGTAATCCGTATGCTGCGTGAGCATTCTAGATTTCTTAAGCACCTTCATGGCGCAAACACGCCCCGTGGTCACTTCCCGGACAAGCTGTACGCGTCCGAACGCTCCGTGTCCTAAAGATGCGATCAGGGAGAAATCTTGTGGCTGACGCCGATAGGATTGAAGACGACTGGCAACGTTCATGAACCTAGAAAGCAACAGAAGAATATCGCATTGCGAATTAGCCCAACCCAGCCAGTTGCGAACACGGGTACAACTATTCGGACAACTTGAGTGCTGTGAAATGATCATAGTCTCTGGTTCGAACAGTCGTTGACGCTTGCCGAGGACTCGTCAATAATCCAGTCGTGAGTTTGGAATCTGGACTGATCATAATCAGGTCGGATCCCGAAAAGATCGACCGTAAGGAGTCTTTCGGTCTTATTGTTTGATCTCTCGATGACCAAAATCCCCTTGTGATGAGGTTGTTATTGGGACTAGTTTTGAACAAGATTTTCAAAGCCACAGAAATCAGCTCTCACTGAAGCCAACTGTAAAACCTTGAAATACACCGTTCGAACAAGAGCATACATGGTCACTCAGTTACCGGTAAGCAGACGGAACTGAACACTTGTGTGTACTCTATGTAGCTAGAGGCCTGCTACAATCGTGTTACGGCAAACGTCCAACTTTAAATAGTGGACCTTGGTGTCAAAGATACACTACAACTTTCTCGTCGTATCGTCCAACCGTACCTTTCTATGTAAGATCATTTCACCATATGACAGCATATCTGCGCGCCGTGCGTTAAAATGTAATCACAAGAGTCATCCAGCGTCATTCCCGCGCTCCGCAATATTCACTGAACGATGTGGGATGATTCTGGACAAACGTTTTGGATTAGCGAGTTCTACGTGAGACACTTCATGTCATTTATAGTTGTAATGTACTACTCATAAGGCTGCTGAATATTTGTCAGCAACCTTATGCATTACAAATATACATGTATAGCGATATCTCGAATATCGTAGCGATTGAAACATGAGGCGGCCTGGTCCAACATATTCAGTCGCCTGGAAACATCACAAACGAGAGATTCAGCTGGGTTCCAGGTGAGTCTCTCGAAAAACCGAATTCGTTTTCAAATGAGTGTATATTCGCTAACTACATGTCATTGTTGATGATGAGCATATAAATCCTACGGCGGGATAGTTTAAACCTAGAGTGTACGGACAATCCAGGAGAGGACAGAAAGAGGACTGATCAAAAGAGAGTGATTTGAACGCGGATTCTACAAATCCCGCAACCGCCTAAAACTAATCGGAAAAAAACAGTGTTGTTTAAAAGATGAGTTAAAGAGAAATTGTCAACTGAAAATAGATGACGTCAATGCTCAATCTCTCATTTATTCACAAACCCATTGAAATAAACAGTGTTGCCTATCGCGACATCCACGGGTTACCGACAAAAAGGGAGGGTTTATATCGGGTGTTCTATCGAGTTTGGTCAAGCCTGCTTTTTCTGTTCGGATATTCGGAACACGTGATCGGATCATCTGCGCGCGTGCACGTGCAGCCCACCAACAATAAGGCGCCTTCTTACTGCGATCAGGTCGACAAACTCAGAGTTCACCGCGGCGCTTCCGTCGAATGTGTACAACACTGTGCAGACATCGGTGACAGAAGGTAAGGAGACGATATCCAACTTCTGTGTGGATTGTGCCCTAGTGATCAGCTTCGCAAGGACTCTGATTCACTGAAGTCCGTGTGTGTGAGCAGCGTATCACGAGATCATGATATATGCCAGATAACTGTTATTATACTAATAGTGCAGAGGGAAGAGGCATCGGGAATATAAAAAATCGTCCACTCCGAGGTGAAGCAACCCGGGTATCATTTAAGGTCGCACGAATACAGTTTATGAATGACGGCTACATTGAACTTACTCAAAATATGCCCAGATTTTTCTCAAAAGAGGCATATTGGACAAATCAAGGGAAAACTCCAGTGCGCCCACCACCTCATCGAATGACAAAATGACTACATTGGGCCAGTTTCACGTTACAATTATCCGGCGGCCTCAAATGATAAGCACTGAACAAACTATTCACTCCATGCATAGAAATGTACCAAAAACGCCAGTTGTGTGAAACTAACCACTGAAATGTTCCGTCACGTCATCGCATACTACATACCATTCGTGTTGACGAGTTTTTGACCACCGACACATCATTACATCGTCCGCAGACATTCAGTCTGCCTCGTGGAACGGTAAAGAGAAAGAAACTTATAACGCCATGATGGTTTTAAAGGTTTTATAGGCACTGATGGCGCACGATGGCAAAATCGATCGCTTTTTGCGTTTGTATCAAGCTTACCTCCCATCGTACAGCTTTTGTAGGCACCGGTCTAAAATTCGAAATGTGAAGCCAGCATAATTGGTTCTTAGTACTTCAGCCTCTTGATTGGTGAGATGACATTATAACATTCTTACCGGGTCACGATCAGCCTTTTTACTCTCCTCTAGCACACAAGCATTGACAGAGCCTCAGTATGTGCAGTGACTTTATAGCTTTGGCTCACCGCTGCGTAGGTGTTACCTCATAAAGTAAAACAAATGGGTGCTCTAAGGTAAGTGATATTGTGTACTGTTGGCTGGTAAGTAGGCCAGCGCCTCAGTGCTCTCACCAAGGGAGTGTTCGCCACACGTGGTTACGCACTGGGTTAAAGGGATAAGCGGATTTGGAAAGTCCGTTGGCTCCAAGAAGGCACTCATCTTGAAGGAGTTGTTCATACGATGTTTTACTGTATGTGCTGTCTTTCGGACAACCTATGTTGCAGGATGACCCAGCAGAAACAAAGCCTCGGCCGCTACGTCGACTATATGTCTAATGAACAACAGCTTTCTCCTACAACTGCTATGTGACTACCAACCACGTGAACGAAGTGACGACTTCAAACAAAAACAAGGAAAACAGTAGACGAGAACTAGAGTGCAATTATAACATATAATGACCTCACCTCTTGCAGAAAGATAACATGTGTTCATTTTCCTTCGATTTTTGCATCGTTCGAGAATCGTTGACAGCCGCTATAACCACATCCAACAGACGTTCAATGTAGCAGTCGGATAATGGATCAGCAAGCAGTTTCTCCAAAGCCACCAGCCGTTCTTTGAGATCATCACAGACTATACTGCTCTCGGGCATGCCGTCCATGGTATCTGTAAGACAAATAGTGACTGATCACTATAAAATAAAACGACAGTGTTCGTCACAGCTTCACAATTATTTAATTTTTGAATCACTTCTTTGAAAAATACTGTAACCCTGGAGAGACTTTTGGCCTAAACGGTTGCTACTTTGTTGGACAACCTGACAAGTGGTGAAAATTCAAACTGCTACCTTTAAGCAGCTGTCGACTATCGCAAAGAACCTAAGAATTATTTCGTCGTTGACTCGGAATCTAACCACGCCGACCGGCTCGACTGCAAGCATTAGGTGTGGGTGTGATTTCACCCAGTCTTGTAGCAGCACTTTATACTTTGCAGGCGCGAAGCGCATTCCAAACCGTGCGGTAGAGTTATTTAGGTTGCTTTATGTCGTTTGCATTTTGGAAGGATCTGAACCAAGCAATCGTCTGCGTACTCAATGTCTGTGAGGGAACGTCCCGGGAGCATTTCGACTCCCGAGGTTTCAGAGGCAGGTAGAGAAATTTCAAGCAGCATATGAGTAACAAAGTTAACGAAGAAAAGGGGAAGAGGACAGCCTTGTCGTACACCACTGGACGTAGTGAACTAAGGCGAGAGCTTCCCGTATGCTCGTACGCGCCCACAGCAGTTCGCATACAGTACCCTCATAAGGGAGAGAAATTTGGAAGGGACACCCTTGATCGCCAGATATCGCCAAAGTTGCTGACGACCGACCAAATCAAAAGCAGCTTTAAAATCCAGAAAAGCGACCAACGTGGGACGTCTGAAGGAGTAATGCTGTTCGAGGATGTCGCAAGGTGAAGCTATGGTCGATACATCCTCGACCAGGACGAAACCCTGCTTGGTTCTCACGAATTTGTCTCTCCCGATAATTCCTCAATCTGCGCAAAATAGTTCCAGAGAGCACTCCAGATGCGACGGATACCGGGCTGGTACCATGATAGTCTGCACATGACATTCTTTCTTTTTTTGGAAACTTGGATGACGGCGGAGGAGCTCCATTCGGCTGGTATTCTATTTTCGTTCCGAACCTTCTGTGGTATGGTTGTCAGGCTGTTCACCAGCACCTCCCCATCTTATTTGAAGAGCGCGGAGTGTAGACCATTCAGGTCAGGTGCCTTGTCGCTCTTCAGGATTGAAATCTCACGCTGGATTTCGCTTGCTGATGATGGGTTGATGTCAATATTCCATTCGGGCCCGCTTGGTTCTCTCAGTGGTTGTGTTGAAGGAGACCAGGTGAACTGTTCTTGGAAGTGATCAACCCATTGCTCAAGAGGGCTATTGGTGGGGTGAACTGGTGTCCTGTCTGCTTCGGATATTGTCTCACTGATACCTGTCTCCTTTTGACCCGTTGAAGGGGCGAGATGGGCCAAGTGGTTAGAGCGCGAATTTTCTGACCGGAAGGTCCGTGGTTCGAACCCAACCTCTGCCACTCGACTTCCCCTGTCTAGGCTTGGGTGACCTGGCAGTATCCCAGCCCTCGTGCCTCCTTCATGTGGCATGGCAGCTAGGTACCGAAAGGGTGCTACAGCTGAACGATTTGACCCGTTGATGGAATCAGTTGAAACAGGGTGGGGCTGTTATCTGCAGCGAGAGCCTTCTCCATCCCCTGGGCCTTCGAAATCCACCAGCGTTCTCTGTCGTTCTTCAAGCTCATGATTATCCGTTGTTTGAGGGGTCTATCTGTGCCACCATAGTCGCTAGTTACTGTTATGACCTTTTTGGAAGCAATAAGATCTACTGATCTTGAAGATATCTATTGTTCATGTCAAATGAGCTGAACAAACAGTTGCGAAAACTGACAGCATTCCTTTGTCAACTCTCCTCCATTCACCCTCCGAGTGATCTTCGTCGTCCACTTGACTGTGCGTTTCCAGTAGCTTTGTAACTAGATCAGGTCGATACTGTTCAGGTACTGAAACTTGTCGAAGTTGGTGAACGGAGCTGCTCTCTTTCGGCACGCGTGGTGATGGCAGAAAGCGAAGTGCTATGCGGGCCTATAGTGGTGTGATCAGAGTAAAGTTGCGTACCTCAGAAGGAACGACAATCCTTAACTGAGGTTCTCCGTCGGTAACTGATAGCTATATGGTCCAATTGAATCCACAACTGTTTTGTGGTAGGTGGCCTCCAAGTAACTCGGTGTGTGCGTTTGTGTTGGAAGTTCGTACTGGCCAGGAACAGACGATGATCTGCACACAACTGAAACAGTCGCTGTCCATTATCCGTACGCTCAATATCGACCCCAAATCTACCACCTAACTGTGTTTCTTCCGGACTTGGTCGCTGTTATATATTTGATCTGTTTTTCAAACGTTTCATCATTTGTTGCTAAATCACTTTCTTCCGCTTCCAGCTCTGTGTCAAAGTTTTGGATGAATAAAGCCTAGCTTTCGGGCCCTCAGTCTTTTTCATTGTCAGTCTGATTGTCGTAACACTCCGACCCTCGTCGTACACAACGTTTTATTCATCCAAAAAAGTTTTCGAACAATGGATCGATTCTTACGTCCTGAACGATTCGATACCGACCCCAATACTCAAGACTCGGCAGATACCTGGGAGCACTGGTTTTGTATTTTCACAAACTTCCTAGAGTCAATCCGTTCTCATTCACCAGATGAACTGAAAACCTTGTTCAATGACGTCTCCCCTAGTGTTTACCGATTCATCAAAGAGTGCAAAGACTATGAATCAGCCATCGAAACCTTGCGAGGCCCGATGCTGCTCAAAAGGCACCTGTTATGTGCAGCCGCATCAGGAATGAGACAGTAATGCCTTATTCCCTGCGCCCTCGGGTTGGGCCAACCCCCTACAGCCGAGCAGGTCAGACTGTTGGGTTGTCGGCTCCGAGGAGGGTCCCCGAACAAAACCCTACGTCCTCCCACTGCCTTGTGGGTCAGACTTTTGAGTCGAAGGCTCAAGGTGGGGTACCTCAACCAAACCCCCTTCCTCGGCCTGGGCAACCGGGAAGTGTCATTTGCCCGCGCAGTTCAGCGTCCACCGACCTTCCCAACCCCTTCCCACCGCACAAGCAAACGTCGCTGGGCCATTTGACTGTCAGC